TCCTCAAGCTGGAGAAGAAGAAGGCCAAGAACTCTCCTTGTACACCAGCCAGTCAGGAACCTGACGTATCCCAAGAACTGGACGAGGAACACTCGAGAACTTACAGAAGTTGTGTTGGCATTTTGCTGTACGTGGCACACGACCGTCCGGACATCCAGTTCGCAGTACGCAGCCTAAGTACTGCCATGACAAAACCGACAGAACGCAAAAGAAAGGAACTGGAGCACTTGGCGCTCTACCTGAAAGGAACGTCAGACTACGCCGTTACGTACCGCAGGAACAGCCCAGGAACGTCAGCTCTACGTCATCGCGCAGAAGAACCACATGAACCACAAGAACCTCGAGAACAACCACGCGAACGTTTACTCGAAGTTTTTAGCGACTCCGACTGGGCCGGAGACAAGCAGACGAGGAAGTCAGTGAGTTGCGCCATGTTCTACCTGGACGGTGCATATTTCTATAGCTACAGCAGAACACAGAAGTCAATAGCATTGTCTTCAGCAGAAGCAGAATACATGGCACTTACAGGAGCAGCAAGCGAAGGAATAGGTTTGCACGCAGCAGTTCGTTTCCTCACAGGGGAACGAGTACTACTCAAAGCATACACAGACAGTTCCGCATGCCGCGGAATCACAAACCGCCAAGGAACAGGAAGAGTCAAGCACTTGCAGATTCGTTTACTTTGGTTACAAGCAGCAATACGAGAAGGCAAGCTTACAGTACATGCAGTTGGCACAAAGGAAAACACAGCAGACCTAGGAACAAAGCCTCTCAGCACGAAAAGAGTGAAGTTTCTCCTGAACATGATCGGCATGTGCAACAGCGAAGGAAGAGTTGGAGAACAAGAGCGAGAAGAAGAAGAAAAAGCACAAGTGGTGAGAAGACTCGAGAAGATCATGAAGAACAAGAGCAGCATGTTGTTTGCACTTTCGAGTTTGTTTGCAAAGACTGAGGCAGCCTACGTACAACACGTACCTTTCGCCGCAGCTCAAGAAGTAGCAAGCTCAAAAGAAGTCCCAAGCAGTCCTGGAAGCATGTCGCTTCTGGAAGTCCTGGTGACGCTCGCCATGGTGTGCATGGCGGCATACTTTGTCGTCAAGATGAGAAAGCCGCAGAAGCACAAGAAGTCTAAGAAAGAGGAGAGAAGCAGCAGTGAAGAAGAAGAAGACAGCAGCTCAGAAAGCAGACGAAGAGCCGAAGACAAAAGGAGGAAGAAAGCAGAGAGAGAAGCGAGGACTGAAGCTCCTGCCGCTCAGGTGAACTACGACGTGGACTCCCTCGACGAGGCAAAGAAAGAAGTGACAGAGAAGACAGAGAAGTTGAAGAAGGTTGAGGAAAGCCTGGAGAAGGAAAAGGAGGAGTTCGAAAACCGAAAGACAGAGTTTGAGGAAACAGTGAAGAGGTTTTTGAAGAAGCAGAAGGAGGTGAAGGAAAAGGAAGACAAAGTTACAGAGAGAGAAGAGAAGTTAGAGAAAGACCAAGAAACCCTCCAAGAGCAAGCCAAGGCCTTAAGCGAGAAGGAGACAGCCCTTGAAGAAGCTGAGGAGAACGTCAAAGCAAAGGAAGCAGAGGTTGAGAAGAAGAAGAAAGAGGCAGAGAAGAGAGAGAGAAAAGCTCAGGAAAGAACCGTCGGCTACGACCAAGAGAGAGAAGAGTACGCCAAGAAGTACGTGGACGACGCAAAGAAGGACTTGGAGAGAGAGCTTAAAGTGCTAAAGCAAGAAGAGAAAGTAAGGAACCAAAAGCTCGACGACCTCCAGTACGACTACAAGAGCCTCAAGGACGACTACCAGTACTTCAAAGGTTACTCACAGGAAGTGGACGCACTTCTACTTGCAGCTAAGGACAAGATCGTGAAGTACAAGAAGAAGGTCAAAAGCCTCAAGGAAACCATAGGTGCAGCCTTGTCAGGAAGTGAAGGTGAAGAAGAGACAGAAGAAGCGTACAAGACCAAAGCAGAGGAAGAGAAAGAGAAGGCAGAGGCTAAGGCAAAAGAAGATTTTGGTCCCGTAGGGAACCGGAGGGATGAAATCTTTATTTATCCTCCCAACTTGTCGACGGTTTTATATTCTTTATAAAACCGAGTGCGCGTTCATTTCTTTGGAACATGTCAGAGCTGTCTTGCAGTCACTGACTTGGTTCATCTCCGTTGCCCTTGCTCTCAAGGGACGGGGGGGTGGGAAACCTACTTTCCTCGGCATAAGCGAAACTGCTTGTGCTGGGGGGTGGGTGCCGTAGTTGTTAGCCGTCGGGCGGGCGGGTTAGATCCACCCTCTGGTGGATGCCATGGAAATGTCCGAGCCCAGCTTGCCTGCGGCTAGTGCTACCGTAGATGACGAGTCCGGTGACATGTCTAATCCTTTCAGTCTGCTTGACGACCATGCCGAGGGTCGTGCATTGTCCGAGGGATCACCTGACGTGTCCGATTGGGATTCGTGGCTTCTTGAGCAATACAGTAAAGATCATGTGTCGAGCGACCACACACACGAGCCTAGCGAGGCATGTGCTGAACCTGAGACTCAGAGCAACCCAGACAGGGAGCCAGCTGCCGGTGACCGGGTCGTCCAGGTTCCTAGTCTTTCGTCACAGGCTGCGCCGTCAGGTGAGCCGTACAATCGTGCAGGGTATGAGTGCATTTTGCAATCCTCATTCCAGTCCCTAGAACAACAGGTGCCGAAATTCTTTTGGCAGGAAGGTTTCTGGGCAGATGTCTTCGGCCCTAAAGCTCCGCTTGTGAAAGTGCCTTCTTTTCATCGCTTCGAACAGCCAGCAGGAACGATTGCTCCGCAGGACTCAGTGCCGGGGTCAAGTGGATCCAAGAGAGCCCGTAGGCTTGCACCTTGCATCTTCGAAAAGGTAGTTGTCAACATGCGTGTAATCTCTTGGAGGGACCAGCGCGAAGCAGACCTCATTCGTGCGTTGTCAAAGTGGTGCCTGGTGTTTGAAGCCTGGGACGTATCACGAACCAATGTTGCAGATCAACTCTTGAAGTGCGAATCAACAGATGCCTGTCATGAGCTTTTGTCGGATTACTTGGCAAAGAAGGCCCCGAGCACCTGCTTAAAGAGGGCGAACAGCATGCTACGCCTTAACAAGTACGTTGCCAGCGAAGGGTTCCAGATGCCCACTTCAGAGCCAGACCTTTACCAGCTGCTGCGGAGAGGCAAGTCGGGTGGCGCATCGCTCTCGGAACTTCAAAGCATAATGGAAGCTGTTACCTTCGTACGGTTTGTGTTTGACGTAGAATGTCTTCAGAGCTGTGCACGCAGCAAGCGTTGTTGGGGCCTCTCAACTGCAAAGAAAGCATCTCTTGTGTCTAGGGCCGACCCGATGAGAGTAGCAGACCTTGTCGAATTACATCGTGTCTTGTCGGACGAGGAAGGTTCGCTTTGGGACCGACTGATGGCCGGCTCAGCACTTTATTGCGTCTACGCGAGATGCAGATGGTCCGACGCGCAGCACATTGACATGTTGGTGTTAGAAGCGGGTGAGACACTGTTCACTGAATTCGGCTCCGCTGTAATTGACATACATAAAACGATGCACTTTGCCTCGAGGGCCCCTCGGTCGATGGAGCTCGTCGCAGTTGGGAGAGGGCTCGACGGGTCCGATTGGCTAGCAACATTCGTATCTGTCAGGAAGCTCCTCGGGTGCTCGTACGAGGACGGCTTCCCGACTATGCCGGCTCCGAACAAGCAGGGACTCCCTACCGTTCGAGCCCTTAGTTCTTCGGAGGCGGGAGCATGGTTGCGCGAGCTTCTTCCTTCTCGTGAAGGAATGAGAACAACATCACACAGCTTGAAATCTTCGTTGCTGTCATTCGCTGCAAAGCGCGGCATACCTCACCTAGATCGGCTTGCACTAGGAGGTCACAGTCATAGTGCTCGGATGTCGGATGTCTACGCCAGGGATGCACTGGCTAGGCCTTTGAGGCTTCTGGCAGGGATGATTTCCGAGATACGGGGCGGATCGTTCGTCCCCGATGCTGGTCGTGCCGCTCGCTTCCCAGGACGGACCAACGAGGCAGACCTGTGTGCTGAGGTTCCCGAGGAGTCTCAGGTGCCCCCTTTTGGGGCGGTGCAAGGTCAGCGATCCGAGTGCTCACCCTCGGTTACAAGCGGTGGACATTCGCCCCTCCTTAGTGTGCAAAGCAAGTCCTTGACCTCCCCAACAGCGGGTGAGGGCCTGCCGGAGTCGCCGCACATGTTTGAGGGTGCCGTTGAAACCGAGCCACAGTTCTCAGTCGGAGAGCCTGCGACTCCAGTGAAATCTGAAGGTGTAGGCGAGGCGTTCGTAACTGACAGTCCAATCAGCGTTCAGTCCAGTTTGCCACCATCGGAGGAGAGTGCTGGGCATTCAGCTTGCGCTAGCATTGATGAGGTCGACCCCGATGATGGCACATCCGCAGCTGGTGACACTTCGTCAGAAGAATCTTCCGAAGAGTCGTCTGATGATTCCAGCTCGGTGGCGAGGCCGGTTCCTCGCCTTCTGCATCCTCCTGCACCACCTGCGGGGACATACTTTGTGCAACACTCGAAGCTTAAGACCCTGCACTTGCTGTTAGATGGACACAGGGCTTTCACGTTGTGCGGAAGGTCCCTCCAACAGGAGCAGAATCCGTTTGGGCCACCTGGCTCCCTTCGTTATGACACACCAGTTTGCAAACAATGCCGACGTGCCACTGCAAACCTGCTAGATTAGAGTGACGTTGGCAGCCTCGAGGAAACAAGTGAGCCGCTTTGTTCATGCTGATTTGAAGTCTTTGAGAGCGTATGGTGTGTGCATATGAGTTAGCATACACCTTGGCGTGCTCCGCGTTTTGAGGTGCTGTTCGCAGGATCAGGTAGGACACTCATGTTTCATGAGGGCTTGCGAGGTCCAAAGGGCCTATCTGAAGATTTTCCACATGTCACATGTCCATGTTCATGAGTGTGCTCCATGCCCTCGTTGAAGCGGTCTTTGTAGGTCTGAACCTTGTAGGTCCAGGCTTCCTGAGTGCCATGTCCTTAGTTGATAGCGAGGCCTCATTCAAGGCGCGTTGCCTTGAGGTCTGCGGAAGCTCAGAACTTTACGATCTGCTGGTCGATGCAGGGGTCAAGACACATTCGATCCTCGCTTTCAGCTGCGGAACTCCGAGGGCCCAGCCGACAGACGTAGAGTTCGCCTCCTTCGCAAACACTGTCGTGAAGGGGCATGCAAGCATCGGCCAAGTCAGCGCCCTTAAGAGGCTTCATTTCGAATCCTCAACGCTAGTGGTTGCTGCACTTCGAACCATGGTTGAAGGTGATGCTGGTGACGCTTCCAAACGTTTACCAGTGGCAGAGAAAGCGGCTCGACTTGCAGAGGCGAAGCGGCGCCTTCCAGGACTTGTAATAGAGGACGAACTCGAGCCCAGTCATGCCCTCTTGGATGTGATCGCACACATGGGTGAAGCAAACTCAGTCGTCTGGGTTCCGCCGTCGAAGTGTACCAAGAGGGATGCCGAGCTGAAACTGGGGTTGAGGGATAACCAAAAATTCCTCACAGTCCAGGAACACGGTGTGACACTTGCTCCGGCCCCAGACAAGCTTGTCGCTGATCATGCAACCCCTCTAGAAGTACAATGGTGCCTTCAACGCAGAGGGATTGCATTCTTCATGTGCGGTTTCATGAGCTATGAAACTCATGATCGGTGGGTTTCGACTCTCCTGCGAGCACTGTCATCGGATGTCCCACCAGGGTACGCTCCTATCTCGATCCAGCAGATGTTGCGTGCTGACTCTGAGATGTTTCTGTTGCTCGCAAAAGAAGTGAACCGAGTGAAGCCTACTAGCACTGGAGTCATGGAGATGGATGAAAAGATGAAGCTGTTCAGGCACGATCCCAGGATCACATCGTATCTGCAACCGTTGCAGAAAGCAACCGCCAGTGTCGCACCGCCTCCTCAGCCGCCCCTTGAATCAGCTGCAGGTGCATCGGCAGGCGCTTCTAAGCGGCAGAAGAGGCGTGACGAGAGGCTGAAAGCCCCTGTAAGGGTCGACAACCTCCCTGAGGAGTTGAAGTCGTGTCCCCACCATACGGATGCAGCCGGCCGTCGTTATTGCTGGTCTTTCAACTTGGCCAAGGGCTGTAATGCAGAGTGCAAAGGGAACCCTCCGACCTGTAATCGAGGGGTTCATGGTTGCATGACCTGCAGGCGCCTGGGTCACGGTACTTCCAGTTGCTGGTTCGCACAGGGGGGCACAAAAGGCAAAGGCCGCGGGAAGAAGGGGAAGGCGAAGTCTGATGCCCCCCCGAAAGAGTGACTAGGACACTCATCCTCGCGCAGCTTCCTTGATGGGAATCGTGAACGTTCGCGAGGTCGAGAAAATGCAAGTGCCGAATTCGAAGCTGATTTCCGAAATCGTCAGTCCTGCCCTCCTGGCGGACCCAGTATCACCGATTCTCTCCTTTCCAAATCCGATGCCAGTCACGACGTGAATACTCCTTCTCGTGGCACAGTTGATTCAAAGATGAACTTTACATTCTTGCATAATGTCTTGAACGAGGCTTGTGCCTGCGGCGATTCCGCGGGAGAACAGCTCGCTTACGAATGCTTGACAAAGGGTTCCTGTAACGAAGACCATCTGCTGAAGCTATCCCGCCTACTTCCAACTGAAGTGCAGGCGCGGTCCGACCATAGCACCGTGGAGGAACGATCCTTCACAACTGGGGCATATTGCTATGGGCCCATGTCTGGCCTGCGGACCACTGTCAGGTCTTTTCCAGCGGCCTCTTGCCTGCTGGCAAACTTGGCACAGCGTCTGTTTCCGCAGCACACTTTCAGCTCCGTGGGACTGTTTCTCAATGTCAAAACCCGCCGTCATAAAGACTCCAGAAACATGCCAGGATCTTTGAACGGCGTTGCCCCCCTTTGCATGTTCAAAGGAGGTGGCATCAGGGTACACTCGAACGGCAAGTCCTCTGACCTGCCAGTGTCGGATGGGCCAGTTCTCTTCGATGCCTTCGAAGAGCATGAAACCCTTGACTGGATGGACGGTCCTAGACTTGTGCTGGTTGCTTTCACGGTGTCTCGCTTGCCCAACTTGAGTGAGCCCGATATTGAACTTTTGAGACAGTTAGGTTTCAAGTTGCCCAAGCTTCAGCCCGCTAACTATGCCAAAGCTCTGCCTCACATGTCCCACACTACATCGGCCGACCACGCTACACCATCCGGCATTGTGCTTGATGTGTTCGCGGGCGATGCAGGCTTCAGCAAAGCTGCTCAGAAAGCGGGCTATCAAGCCTTGGCATTTGACATAAACCCTAAACGTGCTCAGTACCCGATTCAACCCTTGAACCCAACCAAGGACGACGAACGACAGATTCTGCTGGACTTGATCTCCGAGCATGCAAGCAGCTTGATCGTAGTCCAGTTCACGATACCTCTGCTGGGAGCCTTCTTTTCTGCCGAACGCGGTTCTCCCGAGTTCGCCGACTTGTTGCTTCGCAGCGTTCTCGTCGTTCTACATCATTGCATTTCTCTTCAGGTGCCGGTCGCAGTGCTACACCCCGCGACCTCGCAATTCTGGGATCACCCTCGCATGCTTGATTTCTGGGAGTCTGCTCAAGGCCATTGGACTACGTTCGACCAATGCATGCATGGTGGTTCGCAGGACCGACGAGCGCACTGGTGGGCAACCACCCCGCTTTTTGTGGCTCTTTCGGCATTGTGCTCTAAGGACCATCGTCATTTCTCACAGCCGCCCACAGCTTCGACGTGGCCCTCGCTGCTGTGGCTTCGAGCTGTTGAGCTCTTTAGTAATGACTCTAGTAAGCCCTCGCGTAATCCTTCGCTTTTTGGGCCTCCTGGTATAGCCCTTAGACCTGCACTTGGCAAGCAGTCGAGAAAGGCCCGACCTCTAGTGAGCGAGTTTCGCTCATATGATGCTTGGGCGGTGCCTTTGCATGCCGAAGTCGGCAATCTCCTCAGCTGCTACCCCAAAGGTGCACGCATCGTTAGGCGCAAACTTTCCGTTTGGGGTTGCATTAGGGTTTGCGCGATTCCGTCAACCGACCAATGCAAACTCGCCTCAGGATTGCACTGCTCCTGGACGTGGGCCACGAATCATGTTCCTACCACGTCGCAGTCAGGGAATGAGATCATGATGGACGTGTGCGGTACTTGCGTGCCTTATAACTTGAGAAGGGATGACTGCATCGAGGTCATTTGGCTAGGGATACCTCGCGAGCCTGACGACTTCCTGGCCAAGGCCGTTCTAGCAGGCCACCCTAAAGCTTTGCTGGACTCCGAGCCTGATCCGCACATGCTTTTGATCATCGATAACCTTCTGGATGGGCAAGTTGCGAATCCGCTCAAAGGCAAAGGCGAACTTCGTCGGTGGTCCGACCTCAAAAGTCAACTTCATCAGCAGCAGGAGACAGAGAGAGAGAAATGGGACCCTCACGTCAGGGAAGTCCTGGGAGATAAGGCGACCGTTCTTCTTGACACACTGCTGCAGGAGTTGGATTTCCCAGACCGCCGTCTGGTCAAGCACATGACCCAGGGTTTTAGATTGTCGGGTTGGGTTTGTAGGACCGGGCTTTTCCCCCTCGACCCTAAGCCTCCATCCTCGACCATCGCCGCACAGCTGAAGACTGCAAAGGGCCGCAATGAAGCCACCATTGCGAAGCTTGACAAACAGCCTAGCGACGAGGTCTCCGAGAAGGCTTGGTTGGAAACGCTGGAAGAAGCTCAGAAAGGTTGGATTTTCGAAGATACCGATCCGCAGCTTGACAAAGTTCTTGTAGCGCATCGCTTCGGCCTAAAGCAGGGTCCGAAGACCAGAGTCATCGACAACTGCAAGTCCTGCTCTTTCAATCTTACCACTGGTGTCCCGGAGAAATACCGGCTGCACGGGGTCGAGTTCATAGCTGCTTTCCTGCTGCTTGCAATGCGTGATCCAAGATCGCACGGGTGCAAGATCCGTGGACGCACGCTCGACTTGACGGCAGCCTACAAGCAATACGCTGTCCATCGATCCGACCGCGACGTCCTCAGGATAGGAGTGAAGGACCTGCAGCAGAACCGCACTAGATTTTACGGAGTCAACGCTCTTCCATTTGGAGCCACTGGGTCAGTACCTTCCTTCCTTCGATGCGCTGCAGCCTTTTGGCTGCTCGGTGCCAAGGGGTTAGGTTTAGCCTGGACTAATTATTTCGATGATTACCCGATGTTTGCGAAGGACGACTGTGCTGAATCGGCAGACGAAGTTGCTGCCGATTTCTTCGATCTCATGTCTGTCCTGTACGCCCGCGAAGGAAAGAAAGCTACTGCTTTCACCGAAATCTTTAAGGCTCTCGGACTCTTGTTCGATCTCAGCCGGTTCGGCGAGGGGGAGGTCACTATCGGCCACACTCCTGAACGACGTGAGGAGTTGAAAGCCACGATAGAAGCCATCCTAGCCGCCGACTGCCTTTCGCATAGCGAGGCCGAAAGTCTGAGGGGCAGATTGCATTGGTTCACATCCTTTTTGTTTGGGCGCCGCTCGTCTCAGGCCCTTAACGTGGTTTCCGATTGGGTGAATCGAGGAGCCACTCACGGCAGACTCTCTGACGACATGAAGGAAGCGCTCACTTACTTGAAAGATGTGGCCCTTACAGCCCCGCCTTTAAAGATTTCTCGTAGTCTCCACAAGACGTTTTACATTTTCACTGACGGCAGCCTTGAGAACCACACCGCTTGCATCGGAGGCATTTTGCACGATGATCAAGGCGTACCGCTTGGCTTCTTTTCGATCGTGCTTGACCGTGCTGCGATTGAAAGGTTGCACGAACAGTCAGAACATCCAATCTATGAAATCGAGCTGCTTGGAGTGTGGGCGGCCCTGTCAATCTGGCAGGAGTGCATCCATGATAGTTTCTGTGTTTGCTACTTGGATAACGAAGCCGCCCGTGGAGCCTTAGTAGCTGCCAGATCCTCCACCCTGAAGGGAGGTTTGATCTTGGAAGACTGCTTGAAGCTGGAAGACTCAGCGCTCTGCAGGCCATGGTTTGGCCGTGTGCCAACTCATAGTAACCCTGCAGACGACCCTAGCAGAGGGTCCTTCGAACACTTGACGGCAAGAGGGGTTCGTCGCGACTCCCTAGCTTCATGCTGGCCCTTCTAGCTGCTTGCTATTGGGGCTCCTTGAGGGCAGCTGGTGTGGGCCGTACATCGGTTCACATGCTGACAGTTTCAACCGAACCCCTTAGCCCTTTCGAGTAAAACGAAGGACTGTCTTTCTCTGTTGTGCTTTATGGGCTTCGCCCTTTCCGCTCGGGTGTTCCCCGCCTCGCGAACGTTCGACATGGATAAATAAGATTTTGGTCCCGTAGGGAACCGGAGGGATGAAATCTTTATTTATCCTCCCAACTTGTCGACGGTTTTATATTCTTTATAAAACCGAGTGCGCGTTCATTTCTTTGGAACATGTCAGAGCTGTCTTGCAGTCACTGACTTGGTTCATCTCCGTTGCCCTTGCTCTCAAGGGACGGGGGGGTGGGAAACCTACTTTCCTCGGCATAAGCGAAACTGCTTGTCCCGCCCACCCTCGCCTGATTGGCTGTGATTTCTGCCACACCCCTTGCCCTCCTTGAGGGCAGCTGGTGTGGGCCGTACATCGGTTCACATGCTGACAGTTTCAACCGAACCCCTTAGCCCTTTCGAGTAAAACGAAGGACTGTCTTTCTCTGTTGTGCTTTATGGGCTTCGCCCTTTCCGCTCGGGTGTTCCCCGCCTCGCGAACGTTCGACATGGATAAATAAGAAGAGAAAAAGAAAGGAAAGAAGCCAAAGCAGGTAGAGACAGAAGACCCAGAAGAGAAGCCCTCAAGCAACCAAGGAGACGAGAACACCTTCGACCCGAACGACATAGCCGAGTTCACGCAGCTTGGTTACGTGTGGGAGTTTAACAAGAAGACGCAAGAGTACCGCGCGAAGTGCGAGGACAAGAAAGGAGCCACAAGAATCAAGAACGCTCCGGTGAAAGGTCGCCTCCTTTGGAACAAGGTGACGGAGTGCTACAGAAGGCACAACGTGTGGTTTACAGACGGAAAGGAATTGGATAAATTCCTCGAGACCAAGGAGAACGAGAAGATCGAGGAAGAGGTGCAGCGACGCATCCACGCGAAGGGCAAGCACGACAACCAAGGAACGAAGGGAAAAGGCCCTTCCTGGGACGACGGACACAACGACGGTTGGTGGTACAGCGACCAGTGGAACAACGAGAACTGGAACACCACCGACGACGGCAGCAACTGGTACGAGAACGCGAACCCGCAGAACAAAGGCTACTGGCAGACGCCAGAAGAGTGGGCGCAGCAGAACCAGTGGGAGCAGTGGACACCCAAAGGAAAGAGCAAAGGCAAGAAGTCCAAGAACTGGGTGCAGACCCAGTGAAAGGATCCCGAGAAGGGATGATCGAGAAGGTCAAGCAGTGAACGCTTGTACATATGTACATAGCTAAGCAACGTAAGACTTGATGTATACTAGCACAAGAATTCATGTACAAAGTGTGAGCGAATGTATAGACGTAGCAAACTTGGGCAGTAAGCCTAGGTAAGCTACAACCTTCCAAAGTCTCACAAGAAGTTTCACAAGAGGCAGGTTAGGAAGGTACAAGGGCCAGAAGAGGCAAGAAGCCGGAGAAGCCAAGAACAAAGAGAAGAAGCCCGAAAGAAGAAAAGCCCGTAGGCTACGTAAGGGCAGAAGGAAACCGGGGTACGGGCCTCCCCGCAAAGAGTCCATAGGCTGGACCTAACTAGAACGTAGCTGTATATACAGAGTAGGTTTTTCAAGAAGGCCAATGTACAGACATAGAAGGCCTAAGTAGCAACAGGGCAGGAGTGCAGCTAGGTAAAAGACCAGGAAGAACGGAGACGAAAGTCCCTAGCAAAAGCACTGTACAGAAAGCCCTAGCAGTTTCCAAGAACACCCTAGGAACCCGCAAGAACTTTCTGAGGCGGGGTGTTCGTTTGTAACCTAGTGCACGTAGTCCCAAGTAGAGTGTGTAGAGTAATCACGAGAACACATGAAACATGTGTGTGAACCGCGACACGGAGGCTTAAGCAAGTCAGCCCGCGAAGTGAGAAAAGTGTGTTTGCGAGTAGAGTGGGAAGGAAGGCTAGAGAAGCCTTTAGTTTCAACAGAAAGCCATGAAGAGAAGCCGGCTGCAGAGGAGGTTCCTACCGAAAGCCTCTGAAGCCCCAGCCACAGCCGTGCAGCAGCCAACGCCGGAGCCGGCGTCTAGCAGCTCCGACCCAAGCGCCGCACTCAGCCCTTCACACCCAAACAAAGGAGCAGGTCTTCTTCCAGCCGGAGTTTCTCCCAGCGGACCACCAGCCTATCTTCCAGGGGCCCACTCGCCCACCTCAGCCTTTTTCGGGTTGGCCATGATCTACGACTGCAGGACGTGGATCAACTTCTTTGGTGGCGCCCCGCCCTCTGGAACCCTGGAACCGTGGAAGTCGACGATACCACGTGTTTTTACACGATGGAGCCTTCTACTGCAGCCGATTCCGTGCCGACCGAGCCTCAGGACCTCGCCACGCCAGCCCCTGAGGACACAGTCCCTGAGCCAGCCTTTCAGGACGGAGACTTTGCGCCATGTGACCCTCTTCCACCTTGGTTCTCTGCCGACTCCGGCGTGCTCCGTTACTGGCACTACGGGGCACCGGGCAAGAACAACCCGCGCCAGATGGACAGGCAGCAGATCCCGCCAATGTTTTTCCAGAACCCCAAGAACCTCCCGGAGCCCTTATTCGACAAGCGCGAGAACAAAGCCATCCCGCGCCGGACAAGCCCTATGCCTACAAGGAGCCAGCCATGGCAATGCCTCGCTTGCCTTGTTCCAACATGAGGAACTGTATTATTTTCCTTAGCCTTACTCTGCCTCACACCTATGAGTTGGACCCAGCCTTTGCCCGTGCATATGACATGGGCAGCCAGGGTGAGATGCGCTGCCTTTTGCCTTGTTCGACAGTCCCTTTCTGTCCCTTCCACTCAGCCTGCGGCAGGGAACTCAAACAGGGTACCTGCGAGCAAGCCGACCAGCATAAGGGCCACCAGTGCTCTCGGTGCAAAGAATTCACCGATTGCGGCCGCAGCCCTTTCGAGTGGTTTGACGCAGCTGTCACTAGGTCTAAAGACTACGCCTTTCTAGGAGGCTTGTGTTTGGCAGCTGCCTTGCAAGTCCCGCTGGCCGGGACGCAAAAGAGTCGACTCCGCGCCAGCCTTGCTTGCCTCTCGGAGCCCGCTTCTGCCCCTTACTCGTTCGCAGGACGGCTCCAGCGGCAGACGCCCTCAGCTTCTGTTGTCGCAGACGCATTTCTCTGCATTGTTCCACAGCCCGGCTTTGCAGGTACAAACGTGTCTACAGCCTGCCAGCCTTGCCAGGGTCGCTCCCTCTAATGCCTTCCCGCGAGCCCACTATGGAACAGACCTGCACCAGGGGGAGGTTAGTGGCCTCCATTCATGGAGCCCCGTGCACAGTGTTCACAGCGATCAGCAGCAGACGGGCAGATCCTTGCCAGCCTCTCTCTGAACTCTGTCGGGCCTTCTGCACCCCGACGACGACTCCACGGCCCTCTCACAGCCCACACGGAGCAGAAGCCCAAGCCTAGACAATTCGGGATCGCCTTCACAGAATTCAGCCGTGGTAGTCAGGAGGTTTCGAAACCGACGAGCTCCCGCTCCAAGTCACCCCTCTGCCGATTCAACAGTCTGCCCTACACCTGCAGTGCCAAACACAGGTGTGCTGCTGCCGCTTCAGGCAGCTCTCAAAGCAGTTCCAAGCCTGCAGCCTTGTGAAGGCCGACAACAGGGACCCGCGTCTTGTCCTCGATAGCACCGTCTGCCAAGTACCGGAAGCAGTCGCCATGCCCACTGTCAATGATGTCAGAGCCACGTTCCTTCCCTCCGATCCACGGAGTGCCTTCCTCGCAGCAAGCATTGACTTCAAGGCAGCCGACAAACGCGTTAAAGTGCATAGCTCTGAGCAAGGCCTGCTCCTTTTTATGTTTGAAAAGATACTCTACAGGTATGTCGTATGCCATTTTGGAGCTAAGTTCTCAGGGTACTGGTGGCAACGAGTGGGGGGCCTCATCACGAGGATCGCACACCATGCATGCACTAGCCTCTGCACCGCACAAGGCTTGGCGATACGTCGATGACCTTCTCGCAGCCTTACTACGGGCGCACGCACCAGAGCTGCTTTTCCTTCTCATAGCCACGCTCTCCAGCCTAGCAGCTCCTATCAGCTGGAAGAAAGCCACAGTCGGAGATAGCCTTGTGTGGTGCGGCTGGCACTTCAACTTTCGCTTCAAAACAGTCGAGCTGTGTGCAGCCAAACGAGCCAAACTGTGCGACCAGATGCGAGGCCTTTTAGCCAAGAAGAAGGTTCTCCGTAAAAACCCGGAGGCTTGCATTGACCTACTCATGTGGGCGACAAATATTAGCAAGGTCCTGCACGCTCATGTTGCACCGCTTTACAGCGTCCTCAATAGCCCTCCGGGCTCCAACTGCTCCATCTCCCCACGCATGTGGCCAGCCTTTATGCATAGCCTTGAATTTCGGGCAGTGATCTGCCGCCTCCTACCTGGGGTCAACCTCCCTCTCAAAGCTCGCACTATCGAGGTCGCAGCCATCCCGTGCACTGCAAGGCAGACCTCCCTCCGCAGCCTAAGTCCTCTGGCCCTACCTGGGTTCGCTTTTCGGATCCCACATGCCCGGAAATTAGATTCACCAAGTCAGCCCAGGACAGCCTCCGATGGCTGTTACCGCGCATCGAATCCATCCCTAGCACAAGCCTCTCACTTCCACCCCTGATGCCTTGCCTAGCCAGAGCCGACGCTATGGCGGAAGGAGAGAGAGTGGGCATCGGTGGATGGATCACCGCCAAGCAGAGCATGGCGTGGTTCGCCGAGTTGTGGAGTACGGAGGAGTCAGGCGTACATGGCCATTCCTGACGAAGGATGCCCAGAAGTACATAGCCTGTTTCGAGACGCTAGCTCAACTAGCCTTAGCTGCCTTAGCTATGACGGCCCGGGAGCGGCACACCTTTTCCCAATTTGCCGTCTGCTTGCCTTCATTGAGCAATGGCCGCTCTCCCAGTTCCTTCAGCTGATAGCCTCTTGGTCGTCCTGCCACGGCGTCGACCTGCAGGTGTCCCACGTGGCTGGTGCACACAACCAGTGGGCTGACGACCTTAGCCGCGGTCGCCTTCAAGCCTTTAGCCACAGACAGCAGGAACGAGTCCGTATCACGCAGGAGCGCCTCACGTCAGCGGCTTCGGAGGCTTCGTGGGCAAGCGCCCTTTCG